GTTCAGATTCTCTTTTAAATACCCTTGTGGGAGGGGTTTATCAACACATCTTCTCCTTTTGCTTGTATCAAAACTTTTTTCATTAAAAATTCTTCTCCTGATCCAGAACTTTTTTTTTTTTTTTTTGGAGACTAGGCCTCCTTTTATCTCAGGCTAGCCCAGAATTCATCCAGTATTCTGGCAGAGCAGTCCTCCTGCCTTAGCCTCTTGAGTGCTGGGATTACAGGCATAAGCCACCACCCTGGCTCTTCTAGATTTAGAATTCTAAGATGATATATCATACACACACATAATAAATAATAAAGAAGAAAATTAAAAATAAATTCACATATCATTGTAGTCTAGTATAGAATCCATTAGCTACATGTGATTATTGAGTTCTTGACATGGTTTATTCTACTCAGAAATTGGATTTTAAGTGTTATTTGGTTGAATTTTAATAGTCTTGTATGACTAAGGGCTAATGTATTTGCATAGTTTTCGTTGGTAAATGTTTCAGTTTGTGTTAAATGCATGTCCTTTGTAAGTGATTTTTTTTAACCATTTTGAAGATTTTCTTAGTTTTTGTGTTCTGGTGTTTTGCAGGATGTTTAAAGGTTAAGTTTCCTTTTTATTTGTCATGCTAGAGGCCCATCAATGTGCTGGCTCTGAGAATTGGTATCTTTCAAGTACGGAAAATTCTTTTTCTTTCAACTTAAAATTTTTATTTTTGCCTACATGTATGCATATGAACCATGCTTGTGCCTGATAAGAAGGCGTCAGATCCCCTGGAACTGGCGTACAGATGATTGTGAGCTGCCGTGTGGGTGCTGGGAACCAGACCTGGCTCCTCTGCAAAAGCAGCACATACTCTAACCTCTGACCCACTTCTCCAGCCCCTGGAAAACACCTTTCAAATACTGCCTTTTCATTTTACTGTATTTTGGAATTCAGTTCAATGTCATTAGAACGTCTCATCTCTTCTACATTTCTTTCACTTCCATCTGTTAATCACTCTTAGTTGCATTTTAGATACTTCCTTTGACTCAGTTCATCATCTCTTATGCTGTGTCTATGCACCTGTAACCCATCCAATGAAGTTTTAAATTTTATTCTTTACTCTGCAAAGTTAGTGCACTTTCAAATTTGACTATTTTTTGTTTCTACTTTTAGGTATTTATTTCTTTAATCATATTAATCATTTTATAATAAATTGGTGAATCTTCAATTTTTTAAGTGAGTGATGTTTTGTTTTTAATTCTTAACTTTCAGTGCTTTCATCTTCATATATTTGGTTAGGTTTTATTGTGATTCACTCATTTTTTCCAGAGCTGTATGAGTTGGACCTCTTTGGGGCCAGGGTCTAAGGTGGGTTTCTAAGAGAGAAGCCTGCATTTGCTTCTGGCAGTTAATAGAACACTTCTGGGTACTTTCGGCTGTTGTTTTGAGGCAGAGTCTTAAGTAGCCCAGGTTGACTTTAAACTCACTATGAAGCTGAGAATGACTTTGAACTCCTCATCCCTCTGCCTTTGCCTCCTAAATACCAAAATTATAGATGTGAACCACCATACCTAGCTCCAGAATCGTTTTTAATTAAGCTCTCTACTGGAGATTATTCTGGTCATATTGATAGTGAGAATCTGAATCGCTAATCCAGACCTGAGGGCTAATATGGTTATGAATTCTTGAGAGAATTCATTTTTTCTCATCAGCACACTGTTAAAGCATACATTTTCTTGATGTTCCTAGCTGCCCTGTAGATTCATTTCCTGTTCTTTGCTTTCATAAGGGTGCAGTTCTGCAGGATAAGGCTTCATATGGGAGCCTTCTCTTGCGCTGCTCCTCTTGGAATGACTTTAAGCTCTATCCTCTGTGCTGTGCACATTCATGCAACCCAAAACTCTACCATCAAAAATCAGCATCTTCCCAGAACTGCTACTGTCTCATTTTTGGTCTGTGTAGAATTCTACCTTTCATTCTAGTTCATAAATATATTTTAAAAGATATTTGTAATGTTTTAATTAGAAGTTCATGTGTTTCATTTGGGAAAATCGAACAGGCTATCAGTTCTGTCATATTGCTGGAATAGAAATCAGCCATATTTTTTTCCTAGTCTTTGGTGGATGAATGGCTGGACAGCTACAAGCAAGATGAGAATGCAGGATTCTTGGAACTTATTAACTTTTTCATCCGATCCTGTGGATGTAAAAGTGAGGAAACACTCTTTATACTTTCTGGTCCCTCCACCCTTTCTTGTTGTAAAACTTTTCCTCTGTATAGATGAGTACAGTTAGACATTTTCTAAATAAGATAAAGTATGTGAAGAGCTGCATGTATCTGAGCTTCATTTATTTGGGATTTGGGAGTGGGTGAGACAGGGTCTCCCTGTATCCCCAACTGGCCTAGAACTCACCATGTAGACCAGGCTGGCCTTGGTCTCATAGAGATCCACATGCCTCTGCCTCCCTAGTGCTGGGATAAAAGGTGTGAGCCACCACATTCTGGATTAACTACATTTTTGCTGAGTAAATAATGGAAGTGATCTTGTAGGCAATTTAACTGATTTTTGAGGCAAGACCCTTTGGTGCAAAAAAATCATGCTTCTGTGATGATAATGATAAATACAAACTTGAAAGTGGACCATCAGATACCCTTAGGGGTTTTGTTTTTTATTTTGGGTTTCACTGTGTATCCCAGACTGGCCTTGGGCTTGGAGTAATCCTCTTGAGTGCTATGATTACAGGTGTGCAAATAACACCCAACATCTTTTAGTCCTTGTGAATGAGAGCTTTTTTTTCTTTAGCTACTTCACCTATATTTTTTTCTCAGCTACTATAGCACACCCAAACTCCACATGCCAAAGTTTAGTTTATTGGGCTATATAGTGTCAAGTTGTTTTATAACAATTCAGTATCTGGCCTAATTTTATTTTGTTTTGCATTTGTTTGGTTTTGGTTTGGTAGGTTTGTAGCATTTTGTTATGTTTTTTTTCTTTTGTTTTTGGAGACAGGATCTCACTGTGTAGCCCTGGCTGGCCTGGAACTCACAGAGGTCTACCTGCCTCTGCCTCCCTAAAGGTTTATGTCACCGCACCTAGCCTTGGCATTTTTTAAAACCATAGTCTTCACTGCTTGATTCATTTGCATTTTTCTAGAAATTATCTCATAGCAGATGTACAATTGAATGGTGACAGGCTCATGAATAGGAATGGTTCAAGTCATCTGATTGCTCCCTAAGCTCTTTTCAGTATGTCCTCTATTTCACCTTCAAATGTCCAATGTAAATGTAAATGATTACAGTGTCCTATTATTTTCCTTTTAAGTCTCTTGTCTCCTCCATTTTCTAGGCACTGTGACTCCTGATATGTTCAAGAAGATGTCTAACTCTGAGATCATCCAGCACCTAACAGAGCAGTTTAATGAGGTTGGAGGAAGCCAGCCAGGATTCTCTTGCTCTTCTTAGTTCAAATCAAAACAAAAGGCGCATTACCCCATTCTTTTCTGATTCTGGGAAATAGCTTTTAGAAGGGAGACTCAATCTCTTGAAAATAAAAGGGACTTACAGAAATCACCTGGCATCCCTCTGGAATTGGGATGATAACATAAAATGAAGTATATTAGATATACATTTTCACTATGCTGGTCGGTTTTAACATTCAAATCTTCAGGGTTTCATAGACCTAATACTTTTCTCATCCTTTTCATAAACCCTTCTGTAGGATTCAGGAGACTATCCCCTGACGGCTCCAGGTCCATCCTGGAAGAAGTTTCAGGGCAGCTTCTGTGAGTTTGTGAGGACATTGGTCTACCAGTGCCAGTATAGCCTCCTCTATGATGGCTTTCCCATGGATGACCTCATCTCCCTGCTCATTGGCCTCTCCGACTCCCAGGTCCGCGCCTTCCGTCATACTAGCACTCTGGCTGGTGAGCACTCAAAACTCAGTGGGATTAATGGGATTTGTTCCTGTTCTGGACTTTTCCATCTGCATCATAGATCTCCAGTACCTTGTTGCATTTATGTCAAATCTCCATTCTGTTTCCCGCTAGTGGACACTTGAAAAGTTAGATCACAGAAACTGTTCCCAGTCTTCATATCTTCCCAGAGCTTACCTTTGGTAGTATATCCATGTTTAAAAGAAGGCTAAAAGAGTTGTAGGGGGCACTCTAGGACAGGTAGCCTTAGGACTTTAGGGTCACCCTACTCTAGTTTTTCATTTTCTTTGTCCTTTTTTCACTTCTCTTTTGAACTCCTGTTCCCTCCTCTGACTTGAACAGTGATTTCCTTGTTTTCCCTGACTCAAAGCCATGAAGCTGATGACTTCCCTGGTAAGAGTTGCCCTCCAGCTGAGTCTGCACAAAGACAACAATCAGCGTCAGTATGAAGCTGAACGACACAAGGGACCGGGGCAGATGGCACCTGAGCGGCTGGAGAGCCTGCTGGAGAAACGCAAAGAGGTGAGGCAGGCTCCCTGCCTCTTTCCTCCTCTTCCCTGCTTCCATCCTCTGCTGTCCAAACCACAGGCCTTGAGTAACCTTTTAGATGAGGAATACTAGAGACTGGTAACAGCTTATATACCAATCCTGTCAGAGGTCATTGTGTGCACTCTTGTTTCTGAGATACAGGCTTAAAGATGTCAAATTTGGAGTGAAGTTAGAGTTTTCTATATTTCTACTTTTATTCCGTTTCTCTTTGTCTCCATGCATTATTAGCAGTGTTCAAATACTGTACCACCATGTCAGAACATTAAGTTCTGACTCTCAAGTTAAGTGTACAATGTAGGTCATCACAGGAGCGCTGAAAACCAATCAGCGACAAGAACAGTGAAGTTACTGAGAAGTGGGAAGAGAATATACCTTCCAGTCACCCCTGGATATCAGTTCTGTTCAGTTAGTTGTTGTTATAGCTCCAAGACCTTATGTAACCTATCAAAACTTCTGGTTTCTTTCTTTTTTTTTAAATAGATAATTCTACTTCAAGGAATTTAAGTGAGGTGGCTGCCCTGCCGCACAGTGAAGTTTTTGCTTTGTTTTCCTTTGTGGCAGGTATTTCATTGCTGTGATAAATATCTGAGAGAGGCAATTCAGAAGAGGAGAGGTTTATTTTGGCTCACTGTTCAAAGGTTTAGTCCATGGTCAGATGACTCCATTACTTTGTGCCTGTGGAGAGTCAGAATATGACAGCAGAGGCGGTCTGATGGAGCAGAGATGCTCACCTCATAGTGGTCATTTTCTATGGGTGGGTCCCACGCACCGCGTTGCTGGGGTGCGCGTGTGTTGCGTACCGTGTTGCTGAGGCTCTCCGTGACTACTGGGTGCTGGCGACTCTACTGATCACTGCGCTCTCAGGCGGGTTCCATTCTAATCTACCAGGCACTCCCTCTGGGTTCGAGATCCATCAGCTGCTGGGTCACGAGGGGAGGTGCGGGAACGGGGAAAGCAGGGTCTTCGTGAGTTCTTGTTTACGAAGGGACAGCCCCCTCCAGAGAGATGCAGGGTTCAGTGATACAGCTTCAGACACAGCTTCTGATGCAACTCTGATTTATTAAGGGGAAACCAGGATATTTATACTGTGGGGGCAGTGGCAAAAGCCTTAGTTGATAGGTGCTTTTAGGATGCCCCATTTACTTCATTTGTGTGTGGAAATGGGGCCCCGCCATGCTGCCAGACTACCTGAAAAATCACACAGGAAAGCATGGGTTTTACAGAGCCAGAGGCCATGTTTATGTTAGAGCATAAACGGCGGGCACTTCAAAAGGAGAGTCAGGAGGATGCCAGGTTCTCTGCTGAAAGGAGTCATCTGCATTTGAAAACCGAGCTCGTGAGCTTTCCAGACATGGAGAGACTTCTACTTCACAACAGGGGTTCCCAACATCTCCCCCTCTTTGATTTAAAAATGGAGAAGTGCCATCACCAGCCCTAAGGGCCGACTCATCTGTCGGGAGAATTCAAAGTCTGATAATCGACCATGACCTGTTTTGTAGTGATTTTAGCAAATGGCAGTAATTTGTCAGCAAGGAAATCTTAAAAACAGTGAGCAAGTATCAAAATAATATACAGTATTACCAGGGGGCAACAAGGGATAGGAGCTATGTAAACAAGGGATTGTTAAGCCAACCTAATTGTTTGGTGGGTTGAAATCTTGAAAATGGATTATTACAAGGTTTTTTGTGAGTGTTAACATTGGTTTCAACAACAATTTGATTCATTTACAAAGAAAGCACTTTTTCCCAATATACACCCTCCCCATGTCCAGCAGTTATTAAGTCCAATGTTTTTCTGTTGTGGAGCACAATCCTGGCGAGAGAGTTTATTTGTTGTTTGAGAGATTCCAGGCTGTCAGTCACGGATGCCAGTCTGAGATCTAGCTTGTCTCAGAAGTTTGCCAGGTGTTGGGCTTGTAGCAGTTTGTCGCCATAGCAACGCCTCCAGCATCCAGGGAGAGTGCAAGTTCGATCCCTACCAGCAGGGGGAAGAAGATTTTTCTCTGCT